CGTCATCGCTGAAGAAGGTGATAATTTTATGGGCCTGCACTAAGTTCTAAACACTCCAAATGATATATGTGGGACCTCCAGCAAAGAAATCACTGCACACTGTACGTTTTATACACTGGGGCCACTGCAGGGAAATAGCTCATCCCCACACAGATAACAATGCGACCGTATGAGGGATGTTCTCTGAGGGAGGAGATGAGAGATAGAACCGGAGCCGGAATAAGTAAAAAGCTATGAAGAGATTTCCATCCAGCTCAAGTGGCTGACAGATAGAGGCTGTTTTCAGAAGACATAATTAGCTGGGAGAAAAACGGGTTTATTTTCATGTTCAAAAACTCTCTCAGATGTCCGGAGAAGTGTTCCCAAGAGGTGCGTTAGAGAAGTCTCATTATAACAACAGCACCTCTTTTTATCTTTTCCTCCTTTTTCTGCTGCAATATGAAATGTTATTGAGGGAACGGAGAGGGAAACGACATGTTTTCGCTTTTATAGATTTTAATAGAAGGAGAAGACTTTGAACTCTGGAGACGGATAACGATGCAAAACACCAATAAATAACTATAAATACCTCCAGTGTTTAAGGTTTCAGGCGACATCCTGAGATGGGTGAAGAGCCTCAAACGCAATATATTTAGTGCTCGCATTCTTGTTAAGAGTGATCCAAGGGAAGGCGTTGATGGGGGAAAGTGGCTCCGAATGGTACAGACGATGTTTTTTATTTCCAGCAGCTGTTTGAGGTGAAACTTCTTCCTTTTCTGATGAGGCATAATATGTTAATTGAGCTGGATATAGAGAGAGACAACATTTCAGAATAAACTGACTAAATAAATAAATGCTCATAGTGTCTGGTAATCTTTCTTACCTATTCTCTGATAAAATAGTTCCTGATTTAAACCAAACTTCTTCCTTTTTTAGACTCTTTTTTTCAGGTAAAGTTCTTGTTTGTAGACTATTTAATATCTGATCGTTTTGGCTTCTTTTGACAAATGAAAATAAATGTATTTTGTAGAAAAGAAAGTGTTTTGGTTGTTTTGCTAAGTATTTAAACAATACCCAGCTCAAGCAGGCCTGCTACTACCCATCACTTTAAATGATCAGTTAATCTGTCAATAATTTGTTTTAGTTTGATCAATGATTAGTTTCATATCTAATGTGTTCAAACATTGGGGAACATGCCAATCACAGTTTATAAGAGCCTGAGGTGATGTCTTTAAATGTCTTCTTAACTTCGACCAGCAGTCCAAAAGCCAAAGATATTCAAAGTACAATCAGAGAGAGAGAAAAGGTGCAAATCCTCACATTAAAGCTCCTGCTGCCAGATGTTTGATATTTTTCCTCAATAAAACGATTGTCAGATCCGTTGCTAATTAGTTCTCTCAGCTTCAGCTCCTGTAGACATCATTAGTCTGTAGCATTTCTGTGATCAGCAGTTGATTTGAGCTCTTCCTGCTGACTGTACACTCTGGATGAACTGAATACCGTCAGCTTGACTCAATTTCATCTTCATTTCCACTTAAACAGCCCTAACCCTAACCAGAACAGTCGCTTTGTACATTGCTGAACAGTCCTGCGGTTATTGAACACACTTAAAAGAAAGAGGCAGACATATTTTTTTTTTTTGTGTTGATATCTTTATATTGAAATTCATGAAGTATACACAATGCATCCTACACTATTACAATTTCCACACTTGATAATGTTTTTGTTGTTGGATGATAAAGCTACGTTTTGGCATTTAATTAACCAAACAGCAGTCTGACTGAGAAGCTTGGAGCAAAATAAACATTAAAAACATAAAACATCATTGTGGATTAAACTGTAGCACGGCAGCAGGTAGGTAGGTACAAGTAGGCAACATTAGTTATAGTTACAGAGTAGAAAATCATAAACAAAAACTCAATATTCATTGTTTAATGTCTGTTATATACAACCCAGTGCCTTTAGAGGAATGGCCTTTTTCGACCTTTTTTTAATCTTCGACTTTTCCTCTGACATCACAAGTAGATTCCAGCCAATCAGATTCAACCTTTAAGTTAGATGCAATTTACAGTAACTGTTCATTTTAGGCTGGCAAAACTAAATAGCTATTTCTTTTCCTTTTTTTTTGCTTCAGTCTTATATGATTCATAAAGTATGAATAGAAATTGAAATATTGTTGAGCGACCTTTCAAAGTCCGCTAAATATGAAAACACACACGCACCAAAGCAGTTTTTAAACCGCCCCTCCATCCCCTCTGGACTGATTTACCAGTCTGACCTCTGATGGCATCACTCTGAAGTGCTGTGACTGACAGAGTTCCTCCTGTGATACTGATCCACACTTAAAGTGCAGAGTTACACTTGTGGCAGTCGACAGGTGTCTTGATGTGTGTGTGTGTGTGTGTGTGACTTTTCTGCCCCTACATTCACAACAGTGTGTGTGTGTGTGTGTGTATACACTCAGTGCCCACTTCAATATTCAACATCTGCTTTTTTTTTTTCCTTCTTCTCCTGAACACACTGAATTCTTTGAGGCATGAATTAATCAAGGTGTTGAAAATGTGTCACAGGAGTTTTGCTCCACACTGGTTCGATCAAGTCGATCAATTCCCGCAGATTTTTTTTTTGGAAGCTGCAAGATGCCTGTTTTATGGTCATCCTGTTCCACCTCATCCCAAAGGTGCTCTACCGAGACGAGTGCAAGCAGCCGGAATAAACACAAGTTTCTGTCATGTTGCCGGATCTGTCTTGAGATGACGAGTGCCTTGAAGAGACACACCTGGCAGTAACAGTGCTTTTACTGCGGGATTACTGCCGCGGCATTAAGGGATATTATTGGAAAATGCCATTACAGCACCAGATACTGCCTTTAACTAAACACAGGATACCATTTTTTTTTTTACACCAATTCTGACAGCATGTGATGACAGAAACTATCATTTGTTGCATCATGTAGCATTTCTCAATTTTTTGCAACCACCTGCCTACTGTGCCTACCTCATCTTCTTGGTCTTAGCTGTCAGTGATGGAAACTACAGTCAAGCCAAGATTTCTACATTCCTGATATTTTTGCCAGAAAGCAACAAAACCTCTTGACCTTGTCTGCGTGTTTAGAGGACACAGACGACCGCTTTAACAAGCAGGTGTTCCTAATAAAGTGGCCACTGAGTGTTTGTTCTGTACCCGCCTTGATAAAAAATGAACAGTGTAATTCAGTGTTTGTGTGTGTACAGTGGTAAAAGAGATCCCAAAGCTCTGACTGAACTGTGAAAAGTAAACACAACACGGCCTGCCACCCCGCTCAACAGAGTATCAAACATAACCCTGCCGGTCAAGGTTAAAGGTCAAAGATCACAGCTGGCGCCAGAGAAGAGGGAGGCAGGTTTAAAGGTGTGTTCAAGTGCAGCAGGAATTACAACATTCTGTGTATGTGTGTGTGTGTTTTCCATTTTGACTTTACTCTTCCCCTAAGTGATGTTTATGATTTGTAACCAGCATTGCACCAATCTGGAGTTAAACAGTGTTCTAACATACTTACACTTACTGTATAGCACATGCAGAGGTTTGCATGGTTTGGAGCTTTTTTTTTTTGTTTCTTTGTGCTAGGACATCCAAACCAAACCAACCTCAAGCATGTTTTCTGTCTGAAGTTTGATATGAGGAACGTTATGCTGCTGTAGGTTATCACAACAGGCTTTATGGTTCTGTTCTGACTGTAAATCATATATTCATATCCACTAGTTTCATCTTTATCGACCTTCAGATCAAGGCTTTGTCAGCAAACTTTTCTTTAGCATCATTCATATACACATTTGAACATTAAAGGAAACTAGACAACCAGGAAAAAACTTCCCTTACATGCATGCACACACTCAAAACTTTAGTGCTTTTTCTTTCCCTTAGACTTCCACACGCTCTCTTCCTTCTTTCTTTTATACACACATTTTAACGTTATTGCAGTCAATTATTTATGCATTCAAACACATTTTTTTCAGTCTCGCACACACACAAACACATACACCTCACAGTCAGCACAAAACAAAAAAAACAAAAGAACATGCACACTTAAACACACATATCCTCTTTACATAAGCACATTCATGTACATACATAGAAAAAGAAAGGTATTGTTCAACGTAAATTAGAAAAAGCTCAGTTTTGAAAAGGCGTCTATTAGCTCTCGTACCTAAAACAAAAGTTTTACAGGGACTGGTTGGTTTGTGCCAGTAGTTTAGAGGGGAGCACGCAGAAGAGTCAGGAAGGACGGAGTGTTTTCTCTATCCCATCAGGACAGTTGCAGTTCAGATGTCCTACCTTCCTTCTGCGGGTCTTTAATATCAGCAGTACAAAGACAGAAATAAATGAAGCATTTCTCATTTTTTAACGTTTTTCTTCTTTTTTTTCTGTGACCGGTGGAAGCACATTGTTTCTCTGGGGAAAGTGGTACCATTGTACTTCATCTAATGCTTTTCAACCCCTTCTCATCAGCACAGTCGGCCGTAGTCATTCGGGTTGGAGAGGGGAGGAGATGAATGGGGGTGATTAGATCAGAAAGGGTGGGAACAGGGAAACACAAGGACATTTTTGATAAGAGGAACAAGTAACACAGTCTCTAGTAATGGTCATCCTGGGATTTAACGGTCAATGTTCAAGTTAAAGTTATGGCCCAGTGGGTTAAGTGAGGCATCCAGAGGTTTCAGCGTGGTGAGTTTCACTGAACTCCAGACATGGTCTGGGTTGAACTGGATGACGGGGTTATCAGATTAGGTGGTCTCCTTGCCCTGGGTCCCAGTTACGGTCTTAATGGAGCTGAGCGTTCGGTTGAACCAGGTCTTCTTGGCAGCCTGCACCTCGTTGAGGGCCAGACCCAGGTGGTGCTCCAGGTCCTGATTGAAGAGGGAAGACAAGAACTATCAATATGACTGTCACACAGATCAACAAGGGTCAAACCTGTCTGCAAATAAATAACAGATTTTTGTTCATTTTTCAAGAGTACAGGCCTCTGTGTACTTTTTAAAAATTAAATTTTATCAGCAACATGAACCCAATACCCTTCCCACTCTCAGAGACAACATTAATTATATGAAATCCTTATCTTGCCTTTTCAACATTCCCAATAAACCCTTCACACAGCAACCTTTATAATAAATAGTTCACTATCTTCTGTCTCACCCTGTTTTTCTTCAAACTCACCAATTATTTCAGCAGCAACGATGTTAGCTTGCTGTGATGGGAGCAGAACTAACAAGACTTATATTGTTCTAGCGCAACTCAACAGATCAGTCATGACTCCCAACCTCCTCCAGCATCAGGGGGTAAAACAACTATCTATGTCTATGGCCACGATCGTGTATGTGAATCTGTAACTTTTACAGTTTGATTTTTGTGTGTTATTGTACCTGGATTTTGCACTCCGCCTCCACCAGCTGCAGTTTGGTTTGGGCTAGTTCCAGCTCCATCTCTCTCAGCTGGTTCTTCAAACCCTCCTTCTCCTCGTCTGTCTCCTCAGTCCCCCCAGCGGGCGCCGTAGTCACAGCGGCCCGCACACGACCCTCTTTGTTGAAAAGACTACTGCACTTCTCACAGCCTTCCACTTTGGACTAGAAAAGGAAAAATGAGAAAAAGTTAGAGAGAAAAAAACAAGGTAATGACTGACCTCTTTATACCGGAACATACTTTTAAGCTTGAGGAGAGTAAAAGAGAAAAAAGGCAGAATGAAAGAAAGATTCCAGGTAAAGGGACATAGTTTGAAAGCAGTTGTCTAAAGCCAAAAACAATATTAAGTAAAGTTCATTTGCACAAATTATTAAATAAATACACTAATTATTAATCCAAGAGCACAAATTACTAATTTGAGAGCAGAAATTATTAAATCGAGAACATGAATTAATAATTTGAGAACAAAAATTACTAATTCAAGAGCATAAATTATTAAATTGGGAGCTGTGATAAGTTGTTTTTCTTGCCGTCATGACTTCTCCCAGGCTCCAAAGGAATAATACTTGCAAGTGAAAAAACAAGACTCAACCTAGAAAATCCATCAAAAGAAATCAAAGCATCCAAGAAAGCTCTGTGTCAGAGAAAGGTTAGACAGTGATGTGTATGCAATAGAGATTAGTGTGCTTGATTTCTTTTGGTTGACACACATTTTTGCACCTTTAAAGACTATTACCAGTCAAATCAAAAAATAAACTGGACCAGCAGAAAATGCCAACTGTTGGCGCGCACACAAAACGTCTAACCAGACAACTAATGTCTAAACTAAATGCAAATATCTATACCATGTCATTCTGTGATGTGCCCTGTCTGTGCTTTTGCAGCAGAGATATTTTTACAATCTGAGAAGAGATGGCGTGTTCTGTGCAGTTACTGAAGCATGGCAGCTCATTAGTGTAGTAACCATACAAGCCAACTACCCTTTCCCTCTTCTGTCAGGGCTCCACTCCACCCAGCCCTTTAGTCAAAGAGCTCTTTTTGGGTGCCCTTGTATGTGATGAGCTATTATTAGGCACAGAGCATTTGTGCAAGCAGCAACAGAAAATCACTGCAAACACAGCCTCATACTACTGTGCTGCTAGACAAAACCCCATTCAGGTACTTTAACGTGTTCATTGTTTTGTAGTGTTAATCTGTTTAAGTACCTATCTTGCTGTGGGAGTAGGACGTTAGCTTTGCCTGGCGAGCTAAGCTACGCTGGAGGTGTTTTAAAAGTGGAGAAATACTCAGACTAAACCAGGATAATGCAACTGCAGCACAGGTACATGCGTAGAAATGATAGCGTGAGTGTTCTTGCTTCACTTTCTCTCTCTAAATTTGGCTCACGGCAAACCGAGCTCTTAATGGCAGAGCAGGTTGGGCAGGATCGGGGTCCTGTATAGTAGGTTGACTCCTTTGAGACCACAGTTCATAGATTAGTGCAGTGTGCACATTTCCCACAGCACATCTGTTCATACGGCTGAGTGTGTTGGTTGAGATGTTCCCACAAATTTAATATTTCATAACAATATTACATTTCATTTGGATTAAACTGTCAACCGAGTTTAACGCTGATTGGTAATTACACATAACGTTTTCTAAGCTCATCACTGCAGAAGTGGATGAGAGCAGTAATGAAGCAGCACAGTGCCCGAGTTGAAATTGTTTCTGTCGTCACTTTAAATAGAGTTTCAGTGAATAACTATGTCAGTATATTATTTAAACATTTCTAATTAACACTGTTGTAACTTACTGTTATATATTATTCAGTGTTCCCCTACATCAGTTAAAATTGCAGTTGCTGACAGTTTTATTGCATTTGCCATTATTAGTAAATAATCAAATTAAAAAGCACTAGAACAAACATGATAGTATAATTGCGGACATTTACCTCTACCCCCCACACACACACGCACGCACAGAGCTACATCCTTTACAAGACTTGTCCTTGCTGCAATAAACCTTTTGTTTGTCCTTTTGTGAGTCCTTGGGCAGCCCTGACAGAGCTTTATGCCAAAATGGCCTTTCTCCCAGCTACAGAATAAACAAACAATTCATGAGCCAAGTTGTTGAAGTGCTGGAAGTGAGATGCTGGGCTTGGGTTCCTTGGCCTAAGTCCTCATTCTTACCCAAAAGCTTTGATTTCACTGCCAGCCGAGACAATGAGATGGCAACGCAGTTCCCAACATACCTGCAAATCTCAGGGGGCAAGACATTTTGCCAGTCTAATGTTGTTATAAAGTGTAGTGAGTTGACATCATCTGAGCTCTAACATAATGTGGGTATAAATAATCAACCTGCACATGCAAAATATATCAGTAATAAAGTGACACAGTTTCTGGCTGTCATCCAGAATCCTTAGCGCTGTAGTTATATCATTATATTTTCAAGTAGCAAATGTTAAAGACGCATTCATACATTTGGCAGCACAGCTCTGTAATAATGCTCCACTTATAGTTGTGAATCTGTAGCATGTGTCTGAATGCACCCAGCAGCGCTTGGAAGGTGTATGTGTTTGTGTGTAAAACTCACCCGGATTTTCTCCAGTTCTCCTCGGTTGGCTGTCTGTTGTTTCTCCAGTCGTTCACTCAGCTGGGAGCAGATCTATACGAGACAGAGACAGTTGTTCACAAAGTCTGTTCAGTTACGCTGCTTTCAGACTGCCATCAACTTGATCAACAATTCACCCGAAGTCAATTGAATTTCTTCTGAGCCATTCAACGTGACACTCAATATGCAGTACTGTACTACTGTTGTATATGGGGAGCTGCACTGTGTTAAAGCAGCTACAAGGAACTTTCATTTCATCTTTATTCTAGTGGCCACAATGGACAAAAGTGGTCGTGTTTCCATCGGCTTGATCGCCTGATCGAATGTTACCCGCTGGCAGGCATGAAGAATAACTATATAGAAATAGCCATTCTTCTTGCTCTTGCTCTTATTTGTTTATTAATGATGAGCAAGTACACCATTATCCTCATCTGTATCTGTTCAACCAGTTAAACCTTATGGATTCTTATGATTACACAGAATGGGTACACCAGAACATTGTTAATTGAAGCCTGAAATTGATATGGGTTGATGAGTACAGATACTCATACATTTTACTTGTTTTATACTCGTTACATTATCTTCTTTCAGTCGAGTACTCGCTCAAGCCCACTGTGTATGTACGTCGTATAGAGGCATCAGTATCGCATTGAGACTGTGTTTTATAACGAGTTAGAAAGTCCTTGTGTTGTAGTACGTTTGAAAACAACATAATACAGATGCAGTTTATATCTTACGAGTAGCCTATAAAGTGCATCTGAATGAACTTGTATTATAACATTAGTAGGATTCTAGTGTAATGAGACATGACATTGTTTCTAAGGTTGCAGGAAGAAATAAAATGTGGGAAAATATACATGCTCTATATAATAAAGACCCTACGCTGGCTGACTGAAACTCAAAATTACTAGTATTTTACAGTAGGGCCAGGATCTAATTGGACAAGAGAGCAAAAAAATCTAACGTCATAACAAATCAGTTATTTGGTGCACAGCCTTGTTTCTCTCCGTTTGTGGCTCTTGGTAAATCAGTCTTCGTGGCCGAGGCTTTATCCTCTTACTCTTACTGTAAGTCCATTATTGGCGTCACAAGGTCCTGTTTATCCAGCAGGGCTCATCGGATGTATGCATGTGTATCCTTACATATACCCAATCTCTCGTTCACCTCCTCCTGTACCTATAACCCACAGCCACAAACATGCTGACAGACATACAAACAGGCGCACCCACGCACAGCTTGCTGGCGAACAGAGAGATCGATGTGACATGAGTCATCCTAACGGGAACATCGGGTCATCCCACCTCTCTGTAGACCGACTATCCATCTTTCTATCTGCTCTCTGCATATCTCCCTGATTCCCTGTGGCATATACTGTATATCTCTTCCTCCTCCTACTTGCAGAAATCAATCTATACATCTGCGTATCCTTAGTCGGGCAGATATCCATCTTTCTCCTCCTACGTGTCTTTATCTTTTTTTTCCCGTCATCCTCTCCTTCATTTGCTCTCAACTGCCATTACTGAACCCCTCACTCAAACATCCCTTCATCACCACTGATCATTTATCCCTCTTGATCTCACAGCTGCCCCCTTTCTCTTTTACTGTCCCGGCTTCCTTTTTTTAACTAGTGCTATTCCACGGCATGCTGTACATCTCTTCACTTTATGAAGCTTTAACTTGAGATGTGGGGACCGCTCTGCCTTCAGTCAGTTTTGTCTCCCACATGGAAAGTAAGCATTTTATTATTTCTATCACTTTTATTTTTGATCATTTTTAAAGGGCTGAGAGGGACAAAGTGACGAGGACAGTGTGTTCTGCTGGGAGTTCGAGCCTATGCAAGATGGGGGTACGCGTCAGGCAGGAATCCTTATTGCTGTACCATCTGCAAGCAAACTGCCAAAGACTACTACTCATTTAAATTCAGGATGAACAGGGTAGTTGTTTTTTTCCATTCTTATTGTTTCTCTAACACTGTTGTGTCACATAATAGATACCGTGCTTGTTTCTGATATTTCAGGCTTAAAACCCATGGGCCATTTTTTGTTTTCATGTTTTTTCATATTCCGTTTTTTTTCCCACAAACAATCTCAGTCTTATTTATTTGAAATGTTTTCGCTCAATAATTCATCCGGTCCTGCTGTAACTTCACTGCCTGGGAAAATGTTTATTTTCATCGACAAAAAATCATGTTTACAGTATGCTTAAAATGGGTATATTGTAAGCACATGCAGTTTTAATTGCTTTATCACACAACATTTTGCATAAAGCTTAGAAGAAGCAGACAGTTGGGAAACAATGCTCAATCAAGCACTGTTCTGAATATTCTGGTGTCCTGCTTTAAAGTATTTGGTTATATTTATTTTATTTCATACAGTTTTCAGAGACACGAGCACCGGCACATGTCGCCGTACCTGGCAAGTACCCGGCTAGCCCGAGTGCATCCACACTGGCTCTGCTCCTACAATTGGGATTACAATACACCACTCGACGCTGCTTTTAGCTTCACCATTAACAGACGTTTCTCTGTCCTCGTGGGCTGGAGGGGCAATTAGCACACACAAAGCTCTTCTGGCTCTAATCCCGCAAAAATAAACTTGGCATTCACAGACACTGAAATAGTACAATTCTATTTGAAGAATAATTTGAGTTATCTAAGTTGGAAAACAACGCAGGCTATTTTGGGGCATTCCTCAACTTGTCAATCCCAGGGGATTGAATGCTGCTGTCCTCCCTCTCTCCTCCACAGACTTCTGTTCATTTTCTCCCTCTCTCCATCCATCACCCCCTTCCTCCCTGTCACAAAAAGAACTATTTTTGTCAAAGCCCCATTTTCACACTTAGTTCTGCTCAGCACACTTCCCAGCTGCATGCCTGCAATCTGAAGGCTGCTTTCGCCCCTAATACACACACAACCATCAAATCCCCTCTCCTCTTCGACAGCTCTTGTCATCGGTTTTCAGATCTGCTGTCAATTCCAATCCGCTGCTAATATTTTTAGACTCAGGTGAAGTTCAGGTCGGTTCTAAATTAGTCTTTGTGCTATTTCTGCCTGCCCCCACGGGGGTGATAAGAGCTGCATTGTTGCATAATGTCTCTGTGCTGATGGTAATAGTACTTGATCTGGGTAGGTTTATATTTAAGCATTAAGTGACAGGATGAGATCTGAAAGGATGAAAATCACCGTAAGAGGAACTCTGAGAGACAAGAACTCAAAATATGCTCACAGGCTCAGTCATCAAAGGCTTTGGGTTCAGCTTAAGGAAAATTGGTAAAATTAGACGTTTCTGCTTCACAAACTACATGAGTGAATGAAAACAGATTGCTCTTATATTATTTTTAAATATTTATGGGTTATCTTGCCATGGTAATGGCTTGATCACAGATCTGAAAAGACGAGCCAAATAAGGAAAGATACAGTAAATGGTGAAGAGGTGCTCAAAGACTCACTCTTCAAACATCCAGAGTTCAGGATATGGTGCACAAAATTAACCAAAACAGACAAAACTGAGTAACAGTACACAAAATAAACAAAACTACAAGCAACAGTAACAAATAAAGCCGTACTCTTGATAAGAGTATGAGGGAGTATCTTAATGATGATGACTGAAGGATCAGAACAAGAGACGTTGATGTTGATTTATGTTGTGCCTTGAGATATAATAGAAGTAATAAGGTAACAAACCTTCAGGCCATTACTTGCTGCTATGATGAGATCACCAACTGCTGGCAGCTTTTCTGCAGTATTTCATCCAATCTTGTTAAAACATTATAAATTGTTCCTTCTGCATTATGGTGAGTCGTTTAAATACTACTAAATCTTTAAATTTTTTTTACACGTGTCTGGCCGAACTCCAACGTGGACCTAAATCTTTATTTGACGTTTATGTCTGATCATAAATTGCACACTACTCGTACGGTCCTACCCTGTTTTGTATTCACTGCATCTTTAATTAGCAACGAGAAGCTTTGCTAATTAAAGATGCAAGTCTTACGGGCTTCTTCCAGATCAATGAGCAGCTTTTCTGTTCATCTTTTTTAGATTTTAAAGCTCCTCATGAAATTTAATCCAAGCCACATATTAGAACAAAATCTAAAACTCTTGAAATAATTAGTGGACTTCTCGCTGCTGGAAATCAAAAGCTGTACAGAACTCAGCTGCTCGGCTTTTATCCAGAACTAAGAGGTGTGATTTGTCGACAGCTATTTTTGTCTCTTTACACTGGCTCCCAGTAGGTTTTAGGATTGATTTAAAGGTGTTATTGATTACCTTTAAGGTTCTTAACGCCCTGGCTGCTTGCTATATTTCAGACCTTTTAGCTCAATATGGATCTGTATGTAGCTTGAAACATTTAAGAGTCCAGACGTAAAACTAAGGGAGAGAATGATCTGCACAAGTACGTAAGGCTGGGTTGGTCATATTTATTTTATTTATGTCCATCGTAATATATTTTATTTACCTGTGTGGTTTTCCTGTTGCTTTTTACTACTGTTTTTTAGCACTCTTATTTGCTAACGTAATGTAGAATCAGAATCCTCTGACTCCATGTGATTGTGATATTTTGTGTATATCTTTCTCCCTTTTATTTATTTTCATTCTTCTCAGCTTAGATCTCTTATTGTTGTATTTTATTTTAGGTATATATGTTTACTTTCTAAGATGTATAAATATATACTATACTATAAATCTGTATAATTATTTACATTTTTATTACTTATTTACATGTCTATATTGGAAGTTGTATTGATCACCGCTTTCAAGAGCTTTCAGGATTTGTCCTGCCTTAGGATGGTAGGAGATTATAATGTTGGATCTAAACTGAAAACAAATGGTGTTCAAAAAGAAAACTGTGTGTCTGCCACAGTTTCCAGTTTCACAGCTCTTAAATGTACTTGTGAGGGAAGAAACACACTTAAGGTCCAGTGTTTAGACATCTAGCGGTGTAGTTGGAGACAGCAACTCCCTCGCTTCACCCTCCCCTTCCAGGCGCAAAGGAGAAACTACAGTGGACGTGAAATCTGTGAAAAATGGAGACGCCCTTATCTAAAGCTAATGTTTGGTTTGTCCATTCTGGGCTACTTCAGAAACATGGCGGACTCCATGGAAGACGACTGCGTCTGTAGATAAAAACAGCTCATTCTAAGGTAACGAAAACAATTCCTGTATTCATGTGATAACACACTAATTAAAACATGCCTATGAATCTTATACTCCATTTCTGCCAATACAGCCTCCTAATTGTTACACACTGGAGCTTCAATTAATATGATTTTAACAGCATGGCTTTTAATGCTGCATATGCAAACTGGAAGGAATCAACAAATTATTTGACTTCTTAATTTAATTGATTTCTATATGCAATAAATTCTAAATTCAACTTTCAGACATACATTACATACCTGCTTATATTCTCCAATAATGGAGCCGTTCTTCTTAATCTCTGATTCAGACTTATCAAGCTCTCGTCTGCACATCTCCTTCAGCTGTGGAAACAAACACATGCACAGATGCTGTTAGGCTGTGGCAGGGCGGGGACCAAGGACAGAGGCAGAGTCAGAGGCCCCAGAGACCGTGTGAATGCCATGACATGTAAAGAAGATAGAGAAAGGTATTGGCAGATTTGAAGCCCAGGGCAAAGTCGCACCCTCCATACAACCTCTATGCAAGCACATAAATCACTCATGGCTACACCTACACACTCAAGAAGACAGAACACATTTGGTGGACAGCATTGAACACACATGGGAACAGGGGGAAGGAAGTCTGTCCTTCGTCTCAGAAGGTTACTTCATTGAACTGAAGAAAATCAAGGATTGGAGGATTGGCTGTGGGGTATGCATCATTATAAACACAGAAGATGGAAGATGCCCTGAAATTATTTGGAATACAGTTCCTTGTATTACATTGACAGAGACAGCTGTATTACATTTAAATTTTTAACCATACAAACAGGGATAAAAAGGCATGGAAAGTGGTCCACAGACAGGCAGACAGACAGCCAGACCTGTATATAGAAAGATGAATATACAGAGAAACAGGCAGAGACAGACAGAAATACTTGAGCTTGACATTTGATATATAAAGGGGTTCTAATGGCTTGACTGGTCGAAATTCATCCGATAATGGCTGTTTTGTTTAGAGTTGGTCTCCCCAGATTAATTTTTGGCCTCCTGTCTATCGCGGGTAACAGAATGTCTGCAATGTTATGTCTCTGCAAGATGTGTTTCTTAAAGGAGAATACTACTGACAACTTTCACCGTGTTTTATCTTTTATTTATTGCTATGTTTTACATTGTTTTTTGTTTTATTCAATGTATTTTTACTGATGCAGTTTGTGAATGCCATGACATGTTGTTGTTTGTGTTGTTTTTACCCAGTAAAGGCACTTTGTAAACCCGTTTTTATTTTTGTTATTATGTTTATTATAATTATTATTAACTTCCTTAAAGTTTTCTTTACTAGCAACAATCTCCATCAGCATCAGACACAAGCAGCCCCAACGTGTAGTTACATTTTTGAGGAGGAGCATATTACAGTTGATTAATTGATTAGTTACTTACTATAAAACATTTTTTAAGAAAAACAAAATGTAAAATCTCAGATTTCAGCTTGTCAAATGTGAATATTTTTCCAGTCCTCACTGACAGTAAACAGAATATCTTTTAAACCATGAACCCATAAGTATAAATTCAGCTTCACTACCTTTGGGTGCAGTTGTGGTATGATCAGTTCTGCTCAACCATCATCCACAGAGACCTTATCAATAAAATCTTCAGACTCTTGGCTCTGTCCATAGATAGACTGCTCAGTCACATTCGGTCTCAT